GGGTGGTGCAAAATGCGATCGACACCTGGCGTGGGGGTCGGCCACGGAAGAGCAAGGGCTCCTGTCGGCTTCTTCTGACAACATAGATCCGGATTCGCTAGCCGTATAGCCACTGCCTCGGCTGTTGCAAGCACCTGTTGGCGTAGGTCCTTGGAAAAGTTGGTTGGTGTCCGGTAGACAAACTGAAAGGCTTCGTTAGTATCGACTCGATGATTCGTATCGACAAGATATGCTAGAATAGAACTCGAGATCCATCTCTTTTCGCCTTTACTTAGCCAGGCCGGTATGTGCTCACGTACCCTCTTTTCCAGGTGCCTCGTTGTTCGGCGATGTATCTTGCCCCACAGGAGCAGGTAATTCCATAGGCTGCAATGTAACTGAACTCATAGGTCCCAGTGGGGTCTCGATAGTTCAGTTGACTAGAGCGTTGACTGTTCAACAGATTTCCCTTTGCTGGTGTGGGTTCGAATCCCACCAAAGCCGTCGAGTTTTTTTACAACTCAGTCAAGTGAACACTGCTCTGTGTTATAAATGATCTACTGGGAGAAGTTCCGGTGTCCTTAGAACTTAAAATGCCCAAGAACAGTTCATACTGCCGCGAGGATTTTTGAATTTAGATGTCAAGGTTTTTCCTCCTTACAAAGCTGATTTAGGGCGAGTAGGTAGTTTTAAATACAGAAAGCACACATTAAAATGATGTCAGATCATAAGAACAGACCGTAAATATACTGATTTGTACCGAGTTCAAAAATTCATTTCTAAGGAAATTAATAAGCTGAAGTTTCAAGACGGGTATACTCATCAGGAAGCACACAGGTAAAACTGGGGGATCCCTCGCAGCTGTGGCAAGCAGCCGTAGAATACCGAAAAAACACGCATGTCTGGGCTTTTCTCGTAAGTTCTTGTCCTACCAATGTGGTAAATTAAAATATATTCCCATCTACTCTGCTTATTCATTATTAGTGATATACTGACACAGTGATAGGATATAGCAATTTCAGTTGATTATGGAGCATTTTCCTCTCCTATTAGACAGGAGATGCCCCCTAAAACTCAAGAGAGACTTAGGTACTGCACAATGTCAAAATTTAGCCTAGTAACGGCAAATGGCTATAAGTTGCGTCTGCATACTAGGTTCAGACTTAATACATGCACGTACTTACCACTAACTGCTGTTAGCAAGTGTGATTTGTAGAACTAGAATCCCTAGCATACGCATAGCACTTCTAACAGTAGTATCCTGGAAAAATGGCAAGTGGCACTTTGTTTAGGCCCAAATGCATGGTAGATCTTCATCTAGTACAAAATACACGCTTCTTTAACCATTCAGCTTACTAAAAATCCGCATTAAGGTTACGATTGCATATTAAGTTAAAATTTCCTACAGGAACGTACATGCCGTACTGTAACATACCATATACTGGCTTTAGCAAGTGTGATTACTTGAACTGGCACGTCTACTACAAGCACAGCACTTCTAACAGTAGTATTCTAGCTCTAGTAGTTTAAACTTTAGGAAACGCTCAGGGCAAGTATTATGTGCTCTGAGCCTCAAACGCCTACTCTACTCAGAAAAGCAAGAATCCAGATCCCCACTCCTACTTGAGATCGACGGAACATGGGTCCAGATCTGACCCCAATCAGTGTCATTTCTGACCAAGTGTTAGTGTCCGCAGTAGTACCAGCATTACAATCTTTCAGAAGCACCGCTAGAAGCAGCAGCAGTATAAACAGTAGTTGCAGTAGTGGAAATACGAGACTGAGGCCCTTCGAATCTTTTTGGGCACCCTCTATATGTGAGTGAGGGTAGATAGTGCAGTAGTGCCCGTTCAAGAGGCTACTGTCAATTAAGACCACGTTAGGCGATGTTTCTGGCTGCATTGGAGAAAGCGGCTTACGCCCAACTCCTGCTCGGCCATCTTGACTTTGTCTTGTCACCGGTTCAGGCGGGGAGATGGTTTAGAGCGGGGTAGATGGATTCTCGTCCACTTTCATTAAACCTAACTACAGTCACCGGTCCTGCTCTTGGACATATGGTGGACCTCATCGATTGCGGTGGTCTAACTAACACAAATGAAAAAATATGAAAAGTTTCTGTCTTGAAAACGCCAATACGCTCCCATGGCCACCTAGTCGGTATCTCAACAAAGAGACCTCTCTGTGATGAAACACAACAACATATTAATGCAAACAAATCTCTGTTTTTCAGTCTACAATGGCAGCAACTGGGCCACTACAAGACTCGTAAAGCCGCCACCACGTGATGTGACCTTCAACTTGGGCATATCCGTGCCAGGAGGATTAACCGAAGGCGTGACCATCTTCATTAACGGCTACCAAGGCGAGACTATGCGCTTGGGAGCGCCAGCTACGACAACGACCCAGCGCTCCACAATATCTCCTGGAGAGTGGATCCTCGGCAGCTGGGAGGAGCAGGCCGCCGCCAAAGGCGCCTCGATCTCAGATCTCGTGGGCTGGAAAAGGTTCTCGCTACCTTCAGAGGGCCATCGTTTTCTGGGATACACGTGTAAGCCCTATATTCTTTTAATTATCTTTTTAACATGGTGTCGAATTCAAGAGGGGCCGACCACAGGTTCTGCAAATTTAGTGGTTTTACGTTCAGTTCAACTTTATTGAGGGAAAGATAAGTGAACACCCTATTAGTAACAAAGGGGTTAGGGGTAAGAGTTCGTCGCGGGGTCTTAATAGGCGCTTATGTATTATAACCACCTACTTACAAATTTTCAGTAGTCTTTTTCTGTTGGTTTTCCGTTTTCGTGCAAAAAACGGACAAACGAACAAATTTGTAAAATACAGGCCAATCACATCCTTAGAGGCGAAAACCGAACAGTACTACTCACATAGTACGAGTAGCATGATAATTGTACGTGGCTGACAATGTGGAATTGATTGTTGGCAATCATCGAGCCTGAATATTCGCGTGATCTCACTGAAGTTCAAATCCGTGACGGATAGATATATAGCCCTAATTAGTTATGGCTGGAAACTTGCCTATATATGCTATTTTGGTAGGTATGTTCCACTAGTGTTAGCACAACGATAACGTAAGCATTTTAAGATTAATGTAAGGGGCTAGGCATAGCATTCGGATTTTAAAGTTCAAAGTGCGTTTAGGACTTGGGTTAGGGCTTTAAACTCAGCGTTAGGGTTAGAGTTTTAAAGTTGGACTTAAGGTTAGGTTGGGTTAAGGTAAGCTGACGCTGACACATATAACGCGATCTATAATGTTTTTGAAGGCTTTTTGATTTTCTATTTATAATTTCTTACATTTCGTTTCTCATACGTTGAGTTGTGAATGTTCAACGTCCATTTCGTTTTTACCAAACGTATTTTAAAATTCGCAATCGTTTACAGTGCGTTCGGTTTGTCAACGAGCTACGATGGAACTGCAATTTTCTCCCGTTACGCCAACGTGGTTGCAGTTCCTATCGTTGCAACGCATTCGGTAGACAAGTGCGAAGGCTTCAAAATGGGACAGTCTGGCCTTAGGTTGCAGCATACGGTGCTATATTTTCACCTAGTGCTCGAGTTCTCATAGGCAGTTGGCGCACCTCAACAACATTATGGCATAAACGCATTTTTGTCACTTTTTTCTACACAGAGTATACTGTCCTCCACCGTTTCCTTTTCTTGTTACCACCATTCCCATGCCTGCTCATCGTTTTATCGGGGGAGGGGGGCTTCGCATGATACCGTTGTTTGCTGACGATACTGCAATACTAAACTCCTATCAACGGTTGATTTCGAGTCTTTTAGCTTCTGTGTATGTTCGCTGTTGCCCGATGTATGCTTGATACCGAGTCATTATCTAGTCTTCCCTCCTCCGATTTGCACCCCCCTCCCCCGCGCAAGGCGTGAAGGAAGAGAGAGAGAGTCTGCTATAGTTATAGGCTAAATCACCCAGTATGGTACCCGCTATGCGGTGAGGTACACGATGGATATCGTCGCTCGTGCCGATAGAACTGACATGTTGAGAGCAAAAGAGAGTTTTACTGACATGTGCGGCCCTCGTTACCCGGTTGAGTGCATGGGCGAAGTGGCAACAGCTGTATACCTTTATCGCAGGGGGTAAAGTAAGTAAAACCCTAGCAACTGCAATCTTCAGACCATGGTTACTTAGGAGAGGAGAAGTCCTGGGAAGGCCAGAGTAGTAGGAAGAGTATATTGTGTACACAGAGGAACGACGAATAATAGGGAAAAAGATTGACAACGGAGAGCACGACCTTCCGCTAGGGCGGCGTGATCCGAAGTGCGACTTAGTTGCAGAAATCCTCGCGGCCAGAGAGAGAGAGCGTTCACGCGAGCAGGCTTGCTATTCGTCGCCGGGCAAGAACGTAGATTTTGCGGCAACTGTGATTGGCTGTTCCCAGACGTCGAGAGTGTGGCGGAGTGCCATAATTCTCCCCCCCTTCGTTCTTCAAGGCTCGCCGCCCCATTGCCGTGTCGTCACAAACAACTGTTCCATTGCTTTCTTTCACTGGCGCCCCGCCCCCCGAGGCTTGACCTCGCAGCTGCTTCTGGTTAACCGATAACAGCCGCGTCAACGCCCCTGTTCTTCGGCGTGCCTGCGGACCCGGCAGGTGACCTCAGTTTAATAAGCGCGCCTTCCTAAGAGCCACTTAACGCGAAACTTCTGGCCAACGCACCATGGGGCCTTTGCAGGCAACATCCGCTCGGGCAACTTGCCACACACCAATAACA